CCCCAAAACCCCAAAACCCCAAAACCCCTCCTTCTTAATCATTTTTGAAAATTTAATGGTCAATTAGGGAGATTCCCTAAGGATTGGCGCTCGCAGCACTGAAGAGACCCAGCGAAGTGAACAAGGCACCCATCCAATACTTCTTCAAGGTTGAGAGGTTAATGTCCGTATCGAGAGTGATTAAAAGCCAGAAGTTCCTGTGAGAAATTTTAGTAGTGTTAACCCAGAGTTAATATTTCAGCTAGGATTTACACTTATATAACCCGAAAGCTAGCTAATCAGAATACCAGACACGAATGTTATGGAGCAACCCAGTTTTTATTGTAGGTGGAAAAGAAGTCCCTGTTGAAGCCGAACAGAGATTTCTCAGGTTAGAGCTCAATGTTCAGCTAGAATTAGACCTCAGAGTTCTCATTGAGACTTGACGAAGGGATAGGTCAGCTCTTAGAGGTTTTATAAATTAGTTTAAACAATCTCCTTCGCTGGGGATGAACCAATGAAATATACAACCAGTGGTTAGAGTGAACAACCAGAGCTAAATTATGAACTACTGAAATGATGCCAAATTCTCACAAGGAGGAGGTTTGTATTACTAAAGCATGGGCCATGAGTCATGAAGCTCTCCTATTTAGCTCCTTCAAGAAGCCTCGCTAGAAGAAGCTGGATGCAAGTGGAAAGACAATTTCTGGGTCTAAATAAAACTCTTAATCCCGATGAAATCTGCTTTAAAAAGAATGAGACACAATTGCCCCAATTTTGCTTCTGAGGCCTAATATTTCCTAGAATTAGGCATGCCTGACTCTTGAAGAATGCTCAAAAAGCGAAAGCCTGAAAGGAATTATAATCAGATTCATGAAAAATATTGGCGAAAACTGGAACAAATAGTTTAAAAGGAAACAAAAATACCCAACAAATTAGGGAAGCATGTTAAGAAGCGAGACAACCGAGTCCAAGATCTTCGGAAAAGATGCAATCCAAAATAGTAACTGAAGTCAAGATCAAGCATAGCCAAGAACTAGTCTTTTTGCAACGTTAGATTAGCCCTCGAATGTAATAAGATCGTTGCCAAGGGGCAACACCAAGTCTCTTAAGAGAAAATAGAGGTTGGCATAAAGCTTGAAAGAATAAATAAGATATGATCAAGAAATACAGAGTTTAACAATGCTATTGGGGAAGCGAATATATTGACTGTAAACTCAAAGGAGACAGAAGACCTATAATTCTAATAGTTCCTTCTATAATATCTCTTTAACTTTTGTATTTTACCCAATCTAACAGCAAAAATACCCCTGAGAAGATCCCAAGAGATATTTCTTGAATACGAAGCCTTCAAACCTAATTTCTCAGTATAATATTAAAAATCTTCGAGCCTAAATCCAAGAGAAGCACTGAAAGTCTGTAGGAAACCATTCTGAGTGCTATCCATACAAAAGCACTGAAGAACCTTCCAAGGAGGAAAGCCCACAAAATTATTTAAAACTCATATAAAAATCTTCAGCGCTCACCTTAAACGACACTGAAAAATCAGAAGATGACTTCGAAGAAGGACATCAACTACGCTCTGTTCAAAACTGAGAGAATGCCAGTCCACCTAGATCTATAAGAAGGGAACCTTGACTTCAAGAGATCAATCAAGGCTGAAGCCGCCTAATTTGAAATCAGAGCTAATACTCATTAAAATGAGAATCAGGAAGAGAAAGAGTGCCAACTTCAGTACCCTCCTAAGAATGCCCAAAAATATGGCTTCACTAATATGAGCATTAATCAGCCAGGCTATAATTCCACCAGTCCTCGGCTTTAGCCGAGGACTCATCTGATAGCAAACAAGGTGGATATGATGCAGGTGAGGTAAAAGCCATGAGGCCAAGCTCCAGAAAGAAACAACTCAGCTCAGAGGATAGAAAAGAAACCTAAGAAGTCCTCAGACCAAAAGCTTAGAAATCTTTAGGAGTCTGACTAGTTCATGAGCCAGGTGAGAGATCAACTTCTAGAAGTAAGATCAGGTTCTTACAACAAGTATAGCATTAATGAAGATAAAGGCACTGAGAAATTATGGGAAAGCAGCCATGTGCTACCCTTCTTTAGAATGAGACGACAAATTAGTGAACAAAGACTCTCCTCCAGATCCTGAGCCAAACCAGAATACCTACTAGCGGTAAAAAAAGAGTCTGATATAAGAAAAGATGTAAGTGAGCTTAAGATTCAAGATCTGGGAAGATAAGAAAGTACAGGATTATTCAATTACAATTTCCTGGTTCTTAATATCTCATTCGATTTAATTCCTTCCAACTTAAAGAAGGAAGGAATACTAGCCACAGTGACAGAAAAATTATCACCACAATTCAGCTCTCATATGAGTATGAACTGGAACATTCCCAAGAAAGAGAAGCAACTTCATAAGATATACTAACTAACAGACGATTAAATCCATCAAAATAGTAATAGAAGTCTTTTGATGCTCTGAGCATGAGCCTTAAATCTTATCATGAAACCTCCATTGATAAAACCCCCAAAATAGCCATTGTAACGCTCCTGTGGGGTCCCAAATGAACTTCTTTAGTGAGCCTCTAAGGATGCGGGACAGCTCCTTCTATTGAGCTCAAAGGGCAAGCTAAGTGTGCCCATGAACCTCCCAAAACTCTCAAAATATTTCAACAAATTGATATTAAAAAGGGGTTTTGGGGTTTTGGGGTTTTGGGGTTTTGGGGTTTTGGGGTTTTGGGGTTTTGGGG